CAAACAGAAACAAACTCATTCACACCGATGCAATGTATCAGATGCAATTTGGGGTTCAGTATCTTGCTCAAGGATACTTCAATACGTGGCAGGAGGAGCCAGGGATCGAACTAACAATCTTGCGATTGGGGAACGACCCGCTCTGCCTCTGAGCCACAGCCGCCCCTAACGTAACCTGAAAGACCTAAATCTGTCCCTATCGCTAACCCGTTGTATGTACACCATCATGCAAACTGAGGGCCTATACATCATGGCATCACTCCTCCACTGAATGTCTTAGGGAGGAAAAAACATCTGTCTTCTATGTGCCTGCTCACCTCACATGTGAAAACACAGCTGCCCAGTTGAATACAGTGTTTTGCTTTGAATGCTTTTTCAAAGGTGTGATAGAAATCATAAAGCATGAATGTTTCCACTATAAATGAAGGCCTCTCCTGTTGCTGCTTCTCTTGCACTGAAGATCAAGCATTTCAAATTAGAGAGAAAAAAACATCTTTCTCTCAGATGAAAAACGTGTCCCGAGGTCAAAAGCATATAAAATACCAAATCCTATTAAAGGCAGTTCAGTTAAGTGAGCGTCAAGGGTAATATGAAACAGACAAGCAAGGCAAGGACATTACCTGCCAGCAATACAGTCAGCAACTCAGAGTTCACCCAACAAGGTCTTCAGTTTGTAATACAGAAACAAGGGACACTGCAATGGTAGTCCTTCATAAAGTAAACTCACTGATTAACTAAAGCTTGACAAAAACTGGCACAGAATCACATTTTGGTAAACAAACAGCCCCTAGTGCAGAATATGAACATGTATTACCAAGTGGATGTATCAGTCACAATGGGCCTTTCAATCTGCTGTTCTTGTAAAACGCCACCAGTCACGGCCTAGTGCTGCCCTAACTTCAGTCAGGACACTCAAGGTTTTAACCATTTATTCTAGGAATGCGCATTTTAGTTTGCCGCTGTGGTTTTGTAACCTGACTGCACCAGATGGTTTGTTACACAGAACCATTTGGGAAGTCATTGTTGAAAACTGTTTGGAA